CTTCCGGATAGACATGGTGGTTTGGATGTCATGAAATCCTTATACTTGAACCTACACACATCATTTCCTCTATCCTGGTTATTCTGCCTAACAATCGGTGGGTCGTCTTGACCAATGATCCCACTAAAGTTTCCTCATTCAGATTATGCTCCATTTACTTCAGGCTCTTCGACGCGAATTGACAGTTCTTCGCGATTCTGCCTAAGCAGACGTTTAGTTTCCTCCATCTGACGATCCAACATCGTCTGAATCATCAATTGCACTCCGACCATTGTTATTGGCTCAGGTGCTGCTGCTGCAATAGCTACTTGCTCTATTACAGGTATTTGATTCATGTTTTCATCCAAGTTTCCAACTCCACTTCTTGTTCTCACCATTTTTTATCTATACACCGAATAAGGTGAAATTAGATCCTCATGCACGATAGATATTCAAATCATCCTTATCATTTCGAAACGTTTACATGCTAGTTCTAATATCGTAACCATACGCTTAGAATCTTACACACATAAGGTTTCCAGATCCAGTCGACAATAGACCATAGATCCGAACAAATAATATCATATATGGCAACATATAACATTTAGCACATAAAAGCATTTTAGGCAACTTTCCTAAAATAAACTAGTGCTCGTGTCTGAAATATAATAGACACACATCTAACAACCTTCACTTAGCATTCTAAGTTTAAGTCTAGAAATCCTACAAATTCATAATTCGCTTAAACTAATGCTCTGATACCAACTATGACATCACCAAAATCTCGGCCAGAAAAGACCGGTTTCATTTATGCTTTTAAAATAATTTCAGAGTAAATCCTTTTGATTTAAAAGAGTTGCGGAATTTGTTCCCAAAACAAAATATGATAAAATAAAGTTTATCAAAGCATTTGATTAAGAGATGCATTTTCATTATATAACAATATTCGGGATGTCATGTTCTGATAAACAAACCAAAAGCATAAACAACATATTACAAGCCATACAACAGTTATATACATATACAGGCTCATAAACAAAACAAATTGATGATTCATCCATCTTATGCCCTCGTGACACTTCGTGTAATACAAATAAGAATGAGTGGGTCAGGCTTGGGAGCCTAGTGAGCATACATGTTTTTCAACCCACAATAAATAATTATATTTAATTTTCACCAACCAACAATAACCCGATCACCCATTCCCGTTATCCTCACTTTACGTCCCTAAGACAACATCTATTACCAAGGACCTAATCTAGGATTTTCATCAGGACGGACATTACTGTAAAGGGGTTTCCTCAACAATAGATGTCCTAAAGGCAACCACGAGGGGGATAAAGTACACCGGTGAACACATCGTTCACAACACCTACAGGTTATGAACCTACTAGCGTTCCACATGACTATCTAGAAAGAGTCTGTGGTCGTTATCCATACTCCGCTGAATAACTAGATCAACAACAACAACATCGAGGCCTCTCATCAGTTTATCACACTTCAACTATCTACCCAAGTTCTACCTAACATTTTGTAGATAACAATATACATATGCATACATATGCAACTTAAAAACTGATAAGATAATTATTTAATACCCGTTCCAAATATACAGATTCATTCCAAGTAACAGATAATATATATCTATATACACATAACACGTATTCACTCGGAGATACTTTATATCTATGTGTTAGAAGAAAAGGAATATACACTTACTTGATCAAAAGATGATCGGACAACACTACGACTTGCAGAAGTAGTATTCTTCGGTAGATCTAGAATATCTTCACACACCGGGCTTTTCGCAGGCAGAGCTTCGACTCGGAAACTCTTTTCTTCTCGGGATCTTCGAGCTTCGGGACTTGCTTCGGGTCTCGGGATGATACCGGGGCTTTGGGGGTACTTCTTTGCACGTAAATAGAGGTAGAACAAGAGAGAGAGAGAGGAGAGAAAATAGCAACCCTAAACGGTTGGCCCTTTAAATCTATTTATAGGGCAAAATTTGCCCTTGCCACGTCGTGACACCTTTTTCCACGTCGTGGGCTTGGTCGTCACTGCATGCGTCATCGCAAGTTGCGTCTGGGGGACTCCAGGAGACGTTCTTTTTATGCACGCTCTCAGTTTAACGAACTCTTCAACTTTCGTTTAGATTACTAAATCAAGATATCGTTCTATCTTAAATTCGTATTTTACGTCATTCGGTGTGGTGCCGTTTCTGTCGCGAAACTTCGACAGATAATAACTTCTTCGTTATAACTCGGATTTCGGCATTCTTTATATATTCGGAAACCTCGTTTCAACTACTACAACATTATCCAAATATATCGGCTTTATCTACTATTTTATTTTGACGTTTATTTTTTTATTCTTAGTTCATTTAAGCCACACAACTAAACACAAAACATATAATGTCATAAAAAACCTTAAGTTTGACAGAAAATATCGGTTTTACCCTTCGACGGATTTTTGGTTCATTTATACCACAAACTTGTCATTTTTTTGTCGGTTTTGCCCTTGTTACCTGCAATAGCAGGTTTCTAGGTTATTATGAATTATTTTTTGCGAAAAAACCCTTAAGTTTACAAATATTTGCAAAAAAACCCTTAAGATTATAAACATATAAAATATAAATATATATTCAAAATTTTATAAAACTAAATAGTTTTTTACTGAAACATATTTTTAGCTTTATGTACGGTAAATTTTATATTTGTTTGATATAAAGTTTTTATATTTAAATTTTAAAAAATTTACCTAGTTTTATCAAAATTTAAATATTTATTAATTAACACTTAAACTTTTCAAAGTAACATTAAAAAACGTCTGTTAGCTAATAATAATATAACATTAATGACATTCAATTAATTTTTTTTAAAAGAAAAATAAAAATATTTTATATGTTTAAAAGGTTTGAATTTCATAAATAATAAACTATCATATTTTATATAAAAATAAATATATTTATATAATCAATTAGACAAATATATTTATATTTTATATGTTTAAAATTTTTATATTTATTTTTGATGTTTAACATGTTTATGATATTTTTATAAAAAAATATGATAATATTATTATGTATTTAAACATATAAAAAATACGATATGTTAGTATTTATGAAATACAAACCTTTTAAACATATAAAATATTTTTATTTACCTTTTAAAAAAATTAATTGAATGTACATGATACCATATTATTCATAATAACTATTTTAGCATAATTACTTATTAACTAACAAAAGTTTTTTAATTTTGTTTTGAAAAGTTGAAGTATTAATTAAGAAATATATTCAAATTTTGTTAAAACTAGGTAAGTTTTTGAAAATTTAAATATAAAAAGCTTATATCAAACAAATATAAAAGTTACCGTATGTAAAGCTAAAAATATATTTCAGTAGAAAACTATTTAGTTTTATAAAATTTTGAATATATATTTATATTTTATATGTTTATAATCTTAAGGGTTTTTTTGCAAAATATTTGTAAACTTAAGGGTTTTTTTGCAAAAAAATAATTCATAATAACCTGGAAACCTGCTATTGCAGGTAACAAGGGCAAAACCAACAAAAAAATGACAAATTTGTGGTATAAACGAACCAAAAATCTGCCGAAGGGTAAAACCGACATTTTCTGCCAAACTTAAGACTTTTTATGACATTATCCCCTCAAATAATACACTCTTATTATTTCAGAATGGGTTACAAAGGTTAACGTAAACTAATACATTGCTATTAATGACAAGCCCAGAACACACAGGCGTTACATTTCTCATTCAGAGAGAGATCTGGGAGAGATTTCTCATTCAGAGAGAGATTTGGGAGAGATTTCACATGGTTGGAGAGATTTAGGAAAGATTTCGTTTGCATCCTTTTTAAGTGTTTGGCTTCGTAACGCAAGGTTTTTACATCCCGTTAAGTCTCGTTATGATTGTTATATGCTCCCGAGGGTTAGGAATAAGGTTTTATCGAATAGATCCATCACTTGCCCTGATTAGGGTTTAGAATTTTTGAACATACGAATTTTCCAAGTGATAGCTTCTTATTAAAATAGCGAGTTGAACAACTTTAAGCATACAGAAAACCCTGATATACAAGGGTTAGATGAGTTGACCGGTTTGATCCGTTGACTTTATTTGACTTTGACTTGACCAGAAATTGACGATTGTCACAGTTATCCATCGTGATTTTGTTTGGTAAAGTCTTTCGATTATCGAATTCGAAGGATAATGGTTAGATCTCACACTTTTGTTATTCACTCTATTTATTTATTTTCGTTTACAGATAACGACATCGTTTATTTGTTTAAAAATTAGTTTCTTGTTCATCCATTCTGAATTTTGATTGTTATGCGATCTGATTTGGGTTAATTTAAAGTTTCTATTGTTTTTGGTCTAAATTGGCGATGTACAACTTATGTATTTTTGAAATGAATATCAAGGACGATGCTTTCATTAATCGATATAAGACCTGAAAATATAAATCAATTGTTTCCTCTAGTTATCATAAATACTTAAATGGAAGATAGTAGAAGTTTGTGCAAAGGATGGGCTACAAAATGAAAAGAATATGGTTCCTACATACATTAAAATATTACCGGATTGTCTACTGTTGAAGCCACAAGCTTCGTTTCCCTAAAATGATGTATGGTACCTCAAGTATCTTTTCTCTCACTATGCTTATTTCTTGTGTCTTTTAATTTCAATATTACATATTTATTACCATTTATATGTGATTATTGGTTTTGATGAACTGGCAGATGCAAATGGTGTTATGAACATATTTAAAAACTTTGATTACGTGAGATTGTCTGCAATGGTAAAATTATTATTCCTTTGGGAAGATTGGGTTTCTCATGTGCCAATCTTGCTTTAGCAAATGCATGGATTATGATGTTTGATTTGGTTGTTGCAGTTTTTGTGGTATGTATGCATAGTCTTGTTATTTTGATTAACTGTGTAAGGTTTTTGACACTTGTTTATTTATTTATTTATTTAAGTATTGCTTGGGGAAAAATCTTATGATTGACCCTGTTTCAGAAGAAGAAAATTATCAAGATGGTAGTCTTATGATTACTTGTTTATCGTCATGTAACGAGGTTACTGAGTTGACAATAACTGGAGAATGGTCTTCCCCAAAGATTCATGGGGTATGCCATCAAAATGGCATTTTTGTAATTAATGTTTTAAAGTGTTACTTACATCATTTAACTAATACAAAATTTTAAATATGATATATAAATTAACATGCAATGGAACTATTTATTGATGAGTGCATAAAAGCTTAAATTTACTGATCTCACTCTTTTTTATTTGACTATATATTCCAGGCAGACAAGTCTGCAGTAGTTGATGAGGCTGTAAACCACATAAAAACCCTACAACAAACCCTAAAAAAGCTTCAAAGAAAGAAGAGAGAGAGAGGTTCCATGGTTTATTATCAAACACCACTATTGCTTCCATAATTCAACTACAAGGGCTGATCCTCAACACTAGGGAATCCTTTTTATCTAACCAGGCTTCCTCAAATAACCACTTTGGAATGGTCTCTCTAGCTCCTAGCTCCACCTCATTTTCTTTCCCAATTCGTTCACCAACAGTCTTCCAAATATGGACTTCTTTTAATGTCACTTTAAATGTGTAGCGCACATGAATCAGGCCATACAACATCTCAATATGCTTTGATTACTACTTACACATACTTGGTTAGTTATCCATCAGTGCATAACACAACATTCACATTTCAAAATCATTACTTTTTACATTTTGCTTTTTGTACTAAAAAAAGCAGACTGATAACACGTGATTGGTTATACAGGGTATGACATTTTCATCACTTAGCGAACACAAAAAAGTCGAGGAAGCACACATGAAAGCCATTCAAATTGATCAAAAGTTTCTTGAGGCATGGGTTCATTTAGCTCAGGTTAGTTGGGTCATTGGGTGTCACTTATCTATTGAAATAAAATGCTCAAGTATCTTCAAAATGTGCTTTGTTTTTGTTTGATAAAATCCTCTGAAAACTTCAACACATTTAACTTACACCAAACGTGATAACAATTAACAACATCAAGTGAAAGAATTAGAATACAATTTCAATAATCAAATAAGTTTTATTTTTCTTTATTGTAAATATATGTAAATGTTTTTTTTTTGTTTCAATACATATAAGGGAATATTTTAGCATTCTGATTACATGTAAATCACAAGTGAATCACATATGAATTACATGTGATTCACATGTAAATCATATGCGATTCACATGTAAAGCACAAGTGAATCATATATGAAATACATGTGATTCACATGTAAATCACATGTGAATCACATATGAATTACATGTTTCACATGTAAATCACATGTGATTTATATGTGATTCACATGTAAATCATATATGAATTACATGATTCACATGTAAGTCATATGTAATTCACATGTAAATCACAAGTGAATCACATATGAATTACATGTGAATTACATGTAAAGCACAAGTGAATCATATATGAAATACATGTGATTCACATGTGAATTACATGTTTCACATGTAAATCACATGTGATTCACATGTAAATCATATATGAATTACATGATTCACATGTAAGTCATATGTAATTCACATGTAAATCACAAGTGAATCACATATGAATTACAATTGATTCAAATGTAAATCACAAGTAAATCTTAAAAGATACAATCACATGTGAATCTTACATGAAATAATCACATGTGAATCTTACATAATTTATACATATGTTTTTTTTTTTTTTTTTTTTTTTTTTTTTTTTGTGAATGTTCTTGCATTAATTATTTTTTTTTTAATTTCTTGTAGATTTGGAAGAATATTGGAAAAAAATTGAAGAAGTGAAACGTGATAAATTGAAGAAAATATAGAAATCTTGACACAAAGACATGAAAGTGCTTTGAAATTTTGAAGCATTTTTTGTTTTTTATATTTTATTTTGTATGGAAAAAAAATACTTGTACTAGTGTGTTTATAGATTAGTAAATAAAAATTAGGTTTTTAAGATTTATTTATGAGTATTATAGTATAAGAAATATGTATACATGCACTTGAAAAAATATGCATATATGCTCCTAAAACATCGGTTTTTTTGGTTAAATAAATTATAGTTTTTCTACTAAGTTTTATAAATTTTCTATTTTTTTAAAAAATGCAGTTTAAAAAAAATATTTTCTTTTCAAATTTTTTTTTAAAATTTATGTTTTCTACAAAAATAAAAAAATATGCAATTAAAAAAAACGATCTTTTGATAAAAAAATCCGTTAATTTATTTTATAATGTTAATTTGAGAACTTTTTATTAATATTTCCAATAATACAAAAGATTAAATGAGATTGGTATGATAACGATCATGCCCTTAATGAGTTAATTTTAATCTAACGTTTCATCTTTAGTTATCGGGTTCTCGAAAAACTATGAGTTCTCAACGGATCTTATATATATATATATATATATATATATATATATATATATATATACACACACACACTTCTAAATACATAAAAATACGTATTTGTAGTTCTAAAAACATATTAATTTGTTTTTTTAAACGGTTTATATATATATATAACATTTAAAAAGAACATAAATACAATATTTACTTAAACATTTTTTTCATATATAAATACGATTTTTCTGCATGAGTACGTGTAATATAAAAAAAATAGAGTATAAGCGTAAAACAATTATAAACTTAAGGATAAAAACGTAAAAATCTGTAAACTTAAAGGATTTTTGCAAAACTAATATAATGGTAACCAAAAAATATGAATATATTTTTTTTGAAAAATATGAGAGTTAAAATGAACATAATATTCAACTTTAGGCAAAATCGATAAAAAAAAAATGAAAACTTAAGGTTTTTACATTCAAGAAAACTCTATGGATGATTCTGTATTTTTTGGGTTGTTGCCGCCCTCAGCCAAAAAAGTCTAGGGACGATATTGTAATTTTTTTTACTTCCTTCAGCATCTGCAACAAAGGAAAGGATCGGCTGAGCAGCAGTTGTATGCAACTTCACCGGTCAGAACTCAGAAGTAGATCATAGAAGGAGGAATCCGGCTTCGTTAATCCGACCCTATCCACCGGTATAGATCTGGTGCGTTTGCTATTTGGTCTTACCACCCTAACACCCGATGTTCATCATGCGGTACTTAATTTTTAAATTAGGTTTTTATTGCGTAGGATTATCTTGAATCTTAATTGTCTTTCAGCTATCAGTTTACGTAGTGAAAGTCTTTCTAGATAGTGCGAAATCATGAATGATTCTAGATCTTATACTTGTTCTACATATCAATCTTATCTCAACAAACGATCAATTATTATCACGTTGCTATTGGAGAGTATGTCTTGATTAAGATGACTGCTGTGAAGGGAAGTAGAAACTTTGTTGTACCAGTAATCCTGCTACTGTCAGTCTTTATGCTTGAAGCTCAAAAATCTTATATGAATCGTAGGTTAATTATGTTTATTCACTGTTAATTTGGACTGGTAGAATTGAAGTTTGATAGAGGCTGACTGGATATGCCAGTGCCACCTCTGCTCCAAAATTACTGGTACTTTTGAAACTCTCAAGCAAAACATTCTATACACTTCTGCAATTTATCTGGTTTGTAAACTTTCTTGAAATAATAGATGGCCATGTTAAACTTGTAAGAAATTCGACAGGTAGAAGAGCTGTGGTGAAGTAGTTGATTATAATTGCAAACTAAAATGTTTAAGTTATTTAGCTCGTTGAATCATGAATGGATTGTTTGCTTATTTATTGACTATAGTAGCTATAATTGTTGAACATAATAAATATGCATTAGTTTTTTTCATGCCCATCGCTAAATATGAAATAGGATCGCTATCGCTATGTAGCATATAGGTAGCTTGTTGCTATTTGATTGTATTTGCTATTGACAACTATAATATGCTATCTATTCTTAATTCAATAATTCTTAGACTTGTATAATTGTATTAAAGTGGAAGCTGTTACAGCCGCATTCATAAGTCTGCACAACTGTAGTGCTGTTTGGGGACAAAACCAAAAAAAGGATATGCAAACGGTTCATATGGTTCCCAGATAGTTGTAGGATTCATCACTACATTGAAACTTGGAAGTTTCTTCTGATTGGTCACCAATCAAACATATGATAAAATTCACTACTTTCCTAGCTATGGAATATGTTATCACACACAAAACCAACAGAAACACACCTACAGTCTTCTGACTCCAGAACACAATAATCTCTTTGTTGATGGCTACACATAAATAAGTGTCTCTATAACAAATATCTACTTACTTGCCTACCTGTTAGTGTTATGGACTTGATGTGATGAAAAGACACACAAATATGATACACAGTCAGATCTTTGTCCTAGTCCTACCTCTCTTTTCAATATGGCAAGTTGAGTATTCGCACACCTACAAATATCAAATATCTTGGTGTGAGACTTGAACCTCCCAATTCAGTGTTTGTGATGATTACCACTTGATAGAAACCTAAGATGAACGTTTTATAGATGGGGTATTAATGATATGTGATATGAATGTGGAATGACTAGGCCAAACACCTCCAAACCTAGATTTGTACAAGTTTATTCTAGAAGGCCCAAAAGGGCAATTTGGGAAAAGTGGAGCTGAAGTCGGTCAGAGGAGAATAAAAGGGGGAGATGATTCCATAATCCATTGTTAGGTGTGCTGATTTTAGATATTTTGATACAGTTTGTATTTGAGAGAGGGAGTTTCCCTGGAAGAATCATTTGATTTTCGTTAATCATTCAATCTTTCTGTTTACAATTCTTCTTTTATCTTCATTGCTATTTTTCTAGTTCCTATCAATATGAGGCATGATGGATTAGTAAGTAAGTCTAAAAGCAAGGATCATACAAATTGTTGATGGAAGTCTTATTATTATGTAAGAAATATAATTATTCACTATTCATTAGCTCTAACACATGCACAGGTCACCAAACTTTTTGGTTATATACCAAACATATCAAAAAAACAGTTGGTTTGATTCATATTTTTACTGGAATTTGAACGTGTGTATTTCATGTGTTTTTATTCAAAATTTGAGCCGTCGTAATTTTTGTATTTTTGTTTCAGATCTGTGAATATATGATCACATCTTCTTGAAGCAAACAACAAAATTGACGACCTCACTGTAGCTTAAATAGCAATAAAAATGTCTTCAGCTCAAGACCCATTTTACATTGTAAAAGACGAGATTCAAGATTCTGTAAGTTGGCTTCTCGATTGAAGTTTTATTGTTGCTTCTCCTCGAGCTCTTAATAAATAAGTTGGTTTTTTTTGGGGGTATTATTAGATTGATAGCCTCCAGGGCAGCTTTCATGAATGGGAACGCGTCCCTGTTGGCAGTGGGGAACAATCTCGGTTGACAAAGGAACTCCTTTCGAATTGCGAGAGCATTGAATGGCAGGTATGTATCTGAAATACAGACAAATTAAGAAAGATGAAATCTGTTTGAGTTCTGAAAATGAATTTTTGTGATAGGGAAGGTGGATGAGCTGGAAAAGGCTATTTCTGTAGCAGCTAGAGACCCTTCTTTGTATGGTATAAACCAAGCGGAGCTTGAAAAGCGAAGGAAGTGGACCACTACAGCTCGGATTCAGGTACAAATCTTTTCATACTATTACTTTGGTAAATATGCATATGAGTCTTATTTTGTACGTGTACGTGTGTGTGTGTGTGTCATATATAATTAGGTGGGAAATATTAAGAAAGCAGTGACAGTGAGTTCAAACTTTGGTGGGAGTGGGATGCGCCAAGAATTAATGCGGATGCCAAAGTCTCATCATCAGCAGGATAAGGTTGGGACCAGAACCGGATCATATGCTGCTGTAGATAATGATGATTTTATTTCTTCAGAATCAGACACACAGATGCTTCTCATCAGGTAAGCTTTTGCTTTTATAATTTGTTTAGATAAATCAAAACAAATCATGTCTTGTCTTGTTTATTAGCCCCAAATGAATTGTTTTTTTTGTACTCGTGTCCACATATACAAAGCATTAGACTCATATTTTATTGGTAGATATACCTACAAAAACAGGTCGAATGGGTTGATCTAGCATACCTTTACCTGGTGTTTATAACCTCTTAAATTGCTTTTTGAACCCAAATAATAAACGACCGTTATCACAAGGGATGATGATCTATTTTTATTATAGCATCCTACTTTCGTTCCTTTGTGTTGTAAATTTTTATTTATCCAAATGGAAAACAATTTTCGTACACGGCTAAAGGATAAGGTCTTAAAAATAAGAAGTTGAATGTACAATGCTATAAATAAATGGATAGATTTTCAAAGTAGAATGCATGAATAAGAAAAAAAAGGCTCAAAGTAGATTGTTTTAATGATAATAAAAATGAAATATATATAAATCTGTATTTGTGAATAATATGTAGTTGTTGTATGTATGGTACAACAGACAACAAGATGAAGAGTTAGATGAACTAAGTGCAAGTGTGGAAAGGATCGGATCTGTTGGGCTCACCATACATGACGAACTCCTTTCACAGGTGCACATGTGCTTTATGCATGGACATCTTCTTCTTCTTCTTCTTCTTCTTCTTCTTCACACTTCACATACATAGATAGATTATTTATTTGATCACCAAAAATAAGCTTAGTTGTTTAATTCCCATTGCAGGAGAAAATTATAGAGGATTTGGGTTCAGAAATGGAAAGTACATCTAATCGTCTTGATTTTGTTCAGGTTACTCTTCTTCTCTCATCTCAAGATGTGTTTGTGTTTGTTACTACATACATAATAGGTGATAGATGGGACAAGACTGGCCCTCACCTAATAAATAATAATTAACAGAAGCTGCTTTACTTGTACTACTTTGACGTGCATTGAGACCAGACAAAAAGTTTGCAATCTTTTCATCTGTCCAACCCAAAAAGGTGTGTGTGTGTGTGTGTGTGTGTGGCAAAGGTACACGTGCAAAAGCCCTTCTCGTTGAAAATAGTCCTAAAAATGCTTAAACCATCACATGTTACGTATTCCATTTATATATTTTGCTGCATGCAGAAAAAAGTGGGCATGGTTATGAAGAAGGCCAGTGCCAAGGGACAGATGATGATGATCTTATTCTTGATTGTCCTCTTCATTATCTTATTCGTTTTGGTTTTCTTCACCTGAACTCAACTCGACGCCTACATCATATGCTGTTTCTTGATTTCAAAAATAAAAAAATTACCGTATTATCTATTATAGGAGCTAGGTGTTTTCATTAGACTTTTGTTGCTTTATATGGTGTGAGTAAATTGAGAAAAGTTTTCCAAGAATATTATTGTCCCGCTTTTGAACATAGTTTTATTAATACCTTGTACCGGTTTGTTTTTTTCAAGGAACAGAGTCAACAATTATTATGCTTGTTGTTGCTATTTATTACGAAAGCCTCACTCACGACTTGCGCATTCATCATGTTGAATTTAATTAAACCGGAAACAAACAAAACAATCAACCGACAGAAACATAATGCTTCTCTAAAAAATAAAAAAATTGAGTCCTTGATTACACATTCTCTTCAATTGACATCCCACGTTATAGCTAAGCTACTTGTAACAGGGACCCCAAAAGAGGAAAGATGAAAAAGGACATCCACCCTACTTGAATGGCCAATTAGGCAAAAATGATTTAGATTAATCAGACTGACCAACCATCTTCTTCTAGAATCTAGATTAGATTTTTGGTCTCCTCCTTCGTCCTTGTACAAGAAATGGTATTTGCCCATCTTCATCATGAAACAGTTGTTCTTGTGCTCCGCCACGTAGTTTCTCCAAACTTAATCCCTCCATCTCCATGTTTATCATCTTCACCACTTTAACAACATTTGTTAACCCCCCAATAACCAACAACGAACTTGCAATGATACCAATCCACACCCATGTATGTGTCTGCATGTACACCATATCATATATATATATATTATATATATATATATATATATATATATATATATATATATATATATATATATATATATATATATATATATATATATAGTACAATTAGGCAACAACCTTTATTAACTAAACTAGGATGCTGTAACAATAAACAAATTGATGAAAGTACATTGCTAGCTAGCTAGTTGTTGCATATCTAATCTGATTAACCCTTTAAATTAGAAAATGAAAATGGAAGGTAAGGTACATACCAACAAATGCAGACCATGATGAGTATGTCCAAGTTGGTCTCTGAAGTTGAGAAGGGCTCCCACCAAGAACAAGAAGCTACCCATCAAGAAGGGGATCTGGACAGCGTGTTGCAGTATTTGAATGTGGGCGTCTACGTGCTCGTAAAACTGGCATGAATTATGGATGGACCCAACAACCCATAATGAATTCCCCGCAATAACCATGTTTAGAGCATGTCCCTCAATCCCCTCATAACCAAATCCTCTATCCGCCTACAAATTACAATTAATTTAATTAATCACGAATAATCTGGAAAACTGCTTCATTCTCTTTATTTCTTGATTCTCATTGTCCCATTATATATATATATATATATATATATATATATATATATATATATATATATATATATATATATATATATATATCGAGGAGAACACGTCCCCAAGGAATATTGGTTTACATACATTCTATGTGACGTGATCATAAGCTGAATTCAATGACTTTCATATGTAATTATATATTAAAAAAGGGAATGATGGAAGTAACTATCTAACCTGGAGGACGAGCAAAAGAATTGCGATAAAAAATAGAAGTCCTCCGACGGCCTGAACGACGGGCACCATAACTTCAACGAACAGAATCTGAGCATCCAGCTCCATCAGCCGCATCTGGTAATCAATGGCGGCGAGATGTGCGAACAGATCATGTATGTTCACAACTACTATTAAACCTAATCCTATCATCAAAACCACCAGTCCCGATTTCGCCTCCCTGGAAAACTGCGCCACGAAACCACACAGCAACACAATCGTCGAGAACACGTAAAGTCCTGCGTTCGTATACTCCGATCTCTCTCGAGTCCGCCCTGATCCGTACAGCCTCCCCTCACGCGCCGTCGCCAACTTCACCATATTCCTTAATTCGATATATATCACAATAAAATTAGAATGCCTTTCTGGAAACTGACAACAGATCGATGATCTGAAACCAGAGTGTAGAGTGAGATGGTGAAAGAGTCAGTGTGTGTGGTTACGTGGCATCCTGCAGCATGAACATATACCTACTAGTTGTGCCGTATAACACGTGGCAGTTGCCTGATTTATTTCCTGTTTCTATGTTCACCCAAAATTTTATTTGGACTCCTCTTTTTCTCTTTTTCAGTAAACAAAATTACTCATACTATTATTTAAATTTTAAACTAATATATTTAAGGACAAAATTTTACTTTGGCAAAACCAACCGTGTGTATTATTGTCTTTAGGGCACATTAACCTAATTGTTAGACACATATAAAACGATAATTAAATCTATATTTATTTATTTTATATATTTTTAATTAATTTTATTTTAAAATATCAATAAATTAAACTCATCCCATCACACCTCACCCCACCTTAACTCCTTAAGCACTTTTCTTTCCTAGAAGCCTCTGAAAAAAAAAAAAAAACATACTGATTTTCAAGAAGTAATTAAGAAGAAACTATGTGTTGCAGGAAACTCAATAACTGACTTGGTCGACGCAGATCGGTTATGCGATGATGATGTATCTGTGGTGCGTAGGTAGATCCGTTGTAAAAACTCAAGAACAACATCTATTTTGCAAGAAAATAAAGAATTGATTTGGTTAACGTAAATCGATGATGTGCATATCCATTGCAGGAAACTCAATAGCAAACTCTGGTCCCACCCCCACATCCACCACCACCCAGCCATCCAATCAAATGTTGTAAAGTTTGTATTTGCTCTAATAATAAAAGACGAGAGTGAATCTCAAGTTGTTATGTGAGCATAAAAATGTGGAAGAAGACTCTGGTTCCATTGAAGAAGACATCACTTCAATGGAAATCACCTTTAACCAGTTGCGTAGCCACATAGACGCAAGCCCATCCCATATAAATTTACATTAACATATGAGAATATAAAAGAATACTGCTACTTTCACTTTGACGATTAAATACATTAACGTTGCCCTTTGCTTTTTTAAATAAGGGTTTTCAATTTTTTTTTGTTATAAATTCTTTTTTAACTACCCGTTTCTTTTCCAATTCCACCGTGATTTGATTTTTTTTTTGTCTGTTGTTATTATTATTATTATTATTATTATTATTATTATTATTATTATTATTATTATTATTTTGTTATAAATTCTTTTTTAATTATTATTATTATTATTATAAATTTTAACATTCGGACCACATTATAAGTTGTTACAACAGCTATATAAAATCGGTTTATATATATATATATATATTAATTACGGACAAAAAAATCGTTCGAATTTTATTATGTCATACGAATTTACAATGTTTTTTAAATTTTAAAATGTGATCCGAATTTTAAAACTTTGTCTGAATTTTTCTGATTATTCAAATTTAAAATAATAATAATAATAATAAATAAATAAATAAAAGGAAAAAAATCAAAAAACAAAAAGAAAAAAAAATATGTCAAATCAAAAGTAAAAAGTTGATTTGATTGATTTTAAGGGGGTAAAATTGATTAGGAGGTATTTATAGCAAAACCTTTAAATAATAATTTGCTCAGTGTTCCATATTTCATTCGTTAATCACTATTCATGAGCCTTAATATATTAATTATTTTAATTACTCGATTACTTTATTATTGATTTTATTTTCATTATAGATTTTATATAGGTTTTTAATAAATTAGGTTATTATTTCTTCTTATGAATTAACTATTTGTATTATTGTATTATACGTACTATTGTATTATATATATATATATATATATATATATATATATATATATATATATTATTGCTGATAGTTTGGTTCTTTACATCGAGAAAGATATCGCAAAACTTTTTAGTTGAGACTCAATTTTAAATGATTTTAATGATGCAAATGTTGGGCTTTATATGTTATAAAAAATACATGTAAGGGGAAAAACACTTAACCCTTAAATTCACATGCAACCTATAATAGATCTATGTTTTCTCTATTAATAGCAATTATCTATGAACATCAAGAAACCCTAAGGGAAGTCTATGAAAATCGAAATTCATAAAGGTTTAAGGTTACATACCTTTTGGTTATTGTAGCAAATAATCACATCAAAATCTTCTTAAAGTTCCTTGGAAAACAAGCACCGAAAGCTTAGTGCCTCTAATGGCTTGTACCCAAACCCCTAGCAACTAGAAGACTTGATGAGAGAGAGAGGAGGTAAGAGCAAAATTTCAATTCTATGAGTATGTGAAGTGGACGAAAATCAATAGACCAAAGGATCTATTTATAGCTGATACAAGAAGCCTTATATAACCTTAATTTAAACATAATAATAATATCTTAAATCAGGTAATTATTCAACTCTTTATTTATCTATAAGGAATATTCAAGAAAACCTAAAGATCCCTCTCAAAACCATCTAGGGCTAGGAAGGTTCTGAAATTCTCTCTTGTTCAACTATTAAACAATTACAACTTAAGTCCTTGCACTTCTAGTTAATTCTAATTAACTCGAAATTAATTTTGTTTAATGTCTGGTTAATTCTTAATTAATTATTATCATTTCTAATTAATATATTAATCATATAAAATGTTAATAAATCATTTATTTCAATTTCTAATTAATTTGTTAATCACATAATAATTTAACAAATCAACCCCTTTTTCCAAAAGTCATTCTATTCAGGTACTAGTTATGAGGGCAACCCCAAAAGGACTTTGCTTCTAATTTAATGATATACCAATTTAAATATTGACTTAGACACCTTAATCCAATAGTCTCCCACCTAGATAAGTCTATAACTACAATTGCAAGTATATACCTTGATATTTGCATATTTAGTCTTATATTAAGTATAGATTTTTATCATTTATTAGCTAATTTATTGCATATCATGGACAAAAGATACTTAAAAGTGTTTGAATTGTGTTTTCAGTCCAAAAGCAAAGCTCGGAAGCAAAAGGAAGCAGGAGAAGCAATTGGGAGCTCGGGAGTTGAACAAAGAAGAAAAATGCTAAAAATATAAGGTACTCGGCGAGTAGGGTCAACTACTCGGCGAGTCGCGTTGAAGAATCGAGAAGTTAAGGACTCTATGACTTACTGTGCACAGGAATTAAGTGATAGACTCAACGAGTCGGTCATGGACTCGGCGAGTCAGTTCGAATCTATAAATACAACTTTTCAGATCGACACAAAAATTTTTGGAACCCTTGGGGAGAAGCAAGCTGCGAATTAGAGTCAAGAGAGATCTGGAGAACGAAGATACAACCCTAACCCTAATCCCGAAGAAGATTTGAGGCAAATCTACATCATTCTTACTTTAATCTATTGTTCTTCATCATGTTTAGACTTTTAGATTTCGTTTTTGTGCTGTTTGGGGAGACAAAATTGATACTTTGGTTTGATATATGGTAGGATTGATTTAATATTGGTGATTTTGTTAATTCTAGCTTGTTAAAGAACCTTATGTGTGAATGATAACTACTTTTATGTTAATAGGAAGATAATTAAGCTGCATGAACATCTCTTAATTGTTTCCTCATATAATTTATGTGACCACTTTATTATATGACTAGGATTAGCGACTGTGAAACTAGAATTAATAGAAAAATAGGTAAATTCATGTGTGAGCTTGTGTGATGACCATCAACAAGAGGTTAACTAAAGGACCAAATTAGTTAGCTATTACAAGTCTAAATTAACCTGAACAAATAACCTAGTGAATTAAATTAAATTAGACAACTAGGCACTGTTTGAGTTAGTTTGTTGTCTAAGGATTAGTGCAGCGAACGTGAATCTAATCGCTTGAATCGATAGCCAATAGAAGAATTAATCCATTGCACTATTACCATAATATCAAACACAAGATCAATTGAGTTGAACTAAACAGAAGTTCCCTTTGTCATTGAATTTAGTTGAATCTTTGCTTTTCTAGTTTTTATTCTAAGTAATAGTTAGTAAGTTTCTAGTCTTGTAAAACTAGAGAAAACCCATTTTTATTATTTAAGTTTAGATAAAATTAGTTTTTAGTTTTGATTTACCGTTCCCTGTGATCGATACCCTACTTATTTAGCTTTACCACAATTGATAGGTCCACTGCCTTTGTGTGTTTATTTTATAATTAAAAGTAGGTTTAAAACTAGTTGAGTTTATACACATCAAGTTTTTGGCGCCGTTGCTAGGGAACGGTTCTAAATTAGCACTAATTTCTATTTTTATATACAAGTAGGATATAGTAGCTTTGCTAGTCAGACTCTTGGATAAAGTCTCGTGGTTCAGTCATTTGAAAGGATGTTGGCTTCAGTGACCAGTCAGAAATCTGGCGGTTCAAATATTTGGTAGATCATCTCGGAGCTCAAAAGATATTGGATAAATCGAAAATGGGAATGCTGGTCAGTAGGATAGTTTACGGTCGTAAGGATTTTGTTCAGATTTGATTGCGAAGTGGAGCCAGGTTAGCTATGATTGAGAATGGTTTTGTATGGCGGGAAGTCAGATAAGGTATTAGATTCCTGGATTTGAGTTGAGTAGTGGTGGTTGTCCTTTATTAATTAAGGTCAACAGGAGCAATGAATCGTTCTTCGTGAGTATGTGAGTTATGTTAAGGTCAGAAGGTGAGTCTCCAACCATCCCTAGACTGACGGCCAAAGCGAGCGGACGATTCAGATGCTCGAAGATATGCTCCAGACTTGTGTACTGGATTTTGGAGGGAGTTAGGATACTTACCTTCCATTGGCCGAGTTCTCCTACAACAAAAATTATCATATAATTTTTCATTTTAGTATTTCATTATCACCATCAATATTTAAGTTTGTGGCATAATGGTGACTGATGAATAAAATAGATAAAAGATCAACTCCATTACGACAACCATTTAAAGAGATTATTGTAATCTTAAATGGAAAAATAAAACAAGTATATGTACTAAAAGTTGTATATTTTTTGAAATTTGCACGAGTTAGGATATATTTTTTAAATATTTGATTTTTCCGCTTAGAAGATTTATTATGAACCTTCGACATATAATTTTTTTTTTTATTTTAATATCACACTATCACTATCAACATCTAAGTTTGCGGCAAAATCGAGACCGATGAATAAAGGAGATAAAAATTCAACTCCATTATAACAACCATTTGTGCCTAAATTACTTTGAGGGGAAAAAATATAGCCTTTAACATGCATGGTGGTTATTATAATCTTAAATGAAAAAGCTAAGTACAATGGCTAAAAGTTGTTAACTATATTGTTAGATACATGTTAGAGGAAGTATATGATCATCTTGATTTTGAAAAAGCTATAAAAATGAAATTGAAATCTTAAATTAGTAAAAGGGTATTATTTTTAAAACTTCATTTCAACATATTTGAAGCAATATGTAGAATCTCAAATTAATGTTAAATAATAAGAAACATGTTTTGTTTAAATTTATAAGCATAGATGTATTTTTCAATTCAAGTATTGAGTTGATAAAGTAGTTAAACGACTCACACATAAATATAGATTGGGAAAATGACACAATTTCCCTATTAAGTTTCTAGGGTTTACCCATTTAGCCACTTAACTTATTTTTTGACTTTATGAGGGAACGAACTCTTTTTTGTCGGGTCGATTACATCATTTTTGAAGTATTGAAGGGGTAAACCGGTCATAATTTTGCCACATCATTTATTAATATTGCCACTTGACTATACCTCACACCCATTGTCGTCTTCTTCCCCTCCTTATTTCTCAAATAGATACCTGCAACGTTAAAACTCATTATCAACACCATCACCTTCTTTTAATTCTTCCACTCAACCAAATCAATGGACTCACCACCACCATACAGACCCCGCAACCCAAGAACACTCTTCCTTTTAAACCTAAAACCCCTCTCTCCCTTCACGATCTCCTCGTCCTTTCGCTTTCCCCTACCAAGAGATAAAAAACCAGACTTGATGTCTCTGAGGAGGTCAGCGACCTATATGGGTCTCGTCACTGCTACAACAACCGATTTTCTAATATCGGTTCACCCAGAAACACTAGAAGACACATGTGGCGAATGAAAGGGATTCGATAGGATAAAGATCTGGTTGTTGTTGATGAGTACATCGTTGTTAACAACAAACAAAAGAAAAGGAGACATAGTGGTAGATCGAAGAAGGAGAAATCAATTTCTTCCTGTTTCATTCCATCCCCAAGTAAGAATAAATAAATTTATCTTGCTTCACTTCTGGTTCTAATCTAGGGTTCTATTGATTTACTTCTCATCTTGATTGTATTGTTATTTCAAGAGGAAACGACGAGGATTACGGGTACACTTTCGATCAAATCAGATTCCTGATAAATGATTTGATAACATGGAATGATGTTGCAAAATCAATCCTCTAATCTGGGTTCGGTTTACTCTATTTTTTTCTTCATATTTCACAACAGACATTGGCTTTAAGTAAGTCAAGCACTTTTACCCCTTTTGAATTTTACAATCTTCAACACCACTCAAGGATTTGATTCTCGTTTTAAGCATGATTTCTTCAATATCTCATTTGGGTTTACACCTTTTGAATTTCTCAAACTCTATTATCTAAAGGTCATAAAACAAGAGAAACCTTAAGCTTAAAGAAGATGACATTCTAAAAGCTAATGTGTATCGCGATCAAACTGTATTTAGTGGAGCCGGTAAGTGTGCAGATGATGTATTTGCCGATGTCGGAGGAGCTTGTACAGTGGCAAGTTGAATTCAAGCATGTGTTGAATTTCAAAGTAGTTAACCAGCGAAATTAAGGTCCAGGTTTGAATGTTGACTTGAATGATGTGGCAAATAATGTATATGTGGCAACGAAACTGGTTAAAACAAGTCTAGGGGACTAAATAGACAGGTTGCTCACAAGTTCTTTCCCTCATAAAGCTACAGAATAAGTTAAATGACTAAATAGGTAAACCCTAAAAACTTAATAGGAAATATATGTCATTTTCCCATATAGATTTAAAGAATTAGTACAATGTAACTTAACTAAAATTTAATTAAAGCTTTAACTAGATTTTATTAACCCATTTTTTAAATTTTTTTATCACAACTATTTTAAATCTATTATTATATTACTGTGCAAAGGGAGTAAGATACTTGTATTACAATATAATTATTACACCATGTTTAATACAATTACTACACAATGTATTGTAACTTGTAATGGCTCATATATAGAAGAGCTCCTAATTGGTCTATGTGGGCTCAAGTAACTAAATACATAATGAGCGGCCCGATTTGTTGAACCCAAAATCTCACACAACTGATTTTCACCATTATTTAACCCATTGCGCATATAAAAACATCTAAATCAAAATGGGTTGTTTCTATATCGATTTGCTTAATTTGTTTATTTTCAATATGTTGTAGATATGAAGTCAACATAACGATGTAACAGATAAAACTTGTTACTTTGTAATCATCTTTCTGATGTGAAGTCCACAATAAAACACTACATACCATAAATTGATGCTATATGCAAAATTAAGTTGAAAAATGACATGGAAACTTACCTCAAATCGATAATCAAGTCAAAAAGGACAAGTAATCACAATCTTCATTACAATTCATAGGATATAAACGAGACCACTTAAGCCACTAACACGAAAATGGAAATGAAATAAAACTAATATAACTTAAAGATGGATGATGACAGATATTAGACTTAAACTAAATAATCAACTCAGATATACAATTGAACACTTGCCTAAACTAAGATTACATATGTTAAATACTCATAAAAACACCTCTAGTAATCGACTGAACCTCTCCCATTCCTCTTATTACTGTAGCTGAATAGGAGGTTAGTTTTTGAAATTATGATTGTAACATATATAATTAATCACTTGAACTGCCTTTATCTTCTTGATTAATTACTGGTTTGTGTTTTGCTTTAACATCATGCCCAATGCAACAAGCATAGTTCATAATTTATCGGGAATGATCTCAAAACAACAATACTATCATGAAAAATGCACAGGAGAAAAAGGAGGCATATGATCGATCCCTAACTAGCATGATGTAATGGCGAGCAAAATGTTTGTTGAATGTATTGAACGAGGTCTTCTGCACTTAGCTGACATTCAATTCCAATCTACACAACAAATGAATCAAATTACAATAACAACGGTTACCATATATATAATTAGATCACAGTTATGTAATATATATATATATATATATATATATATATATATATATATATATATATATATATATATATATATATATATATATATATATAATTTAACTAGTTTATAACCCGTGGTCATTACGGATTATAAAGGTAAAAATAATTTTAATTAAATTATAAGGTAATTATTGAGCAATGATAAAAAAAATTAATAATTTAATAACTTAGGCAACAGAGATTACACATAAAATTTTTGTTGACGTATCTGATATGTGTAAAATGGAGGAGTGAATTAGTGAAAATTTAATTAATGAGGAAAAATCTTAGAATGACAAGTAACAACTAATTAATATGAAGCTCTAATTGATTGACACGTAATAAATTTGTTACTCTTTTATTAGGTAAGGAGGTCTTATCATAAAAGATTATTTTATAACTATCATTTTATTTTTGTTTGAAAAATGTGTGGTGAATAAACTTAATGTAAACAACCCAAGATCGAATAAAAATTCATTAGATGGTTGAAATACATTAAAAATTTATCTTTTCTTCGTCAATTATCGGTGTATATAATATTTTTATTCTAAGAAATGAATAAGTTTATTTTTTATTGACAAGTGTTATAAAATTATAAATCCTTATTAATATTATATGTCACCTATTATACTACATATCAACCTATTAATTATCTATTTCTAATTCTAAATTTTAAATTTCTTAATCTAATTACACTAAATTAATAATTGATTCTTCATTTCAAATTTCAAATTTTAAATTTTACACTTTAATTATATTAAATTAATAGTATTAGAATAAAAAGTAAAATAAAATTAATATATTATAAGGTGATATAATTTTATGTATTTATTTAAATAAATTATTATAACTAAAAAAATATCTCTTAATTAATAATTTATTTAAAATAATTGATTAATAATTTTGAGTTTTTATTATGAAAGTTTAATTAATTTGATAACCATAGTTCTTACAGATTGTAAACTAGTATATATATATATATATATATATATATATATATATATATATATATATATATATATATATATATATATATAATATATATATATATATATATATATAAATGAGCCTAGATAATCACCTTAGCTATTCCTAGATGTCGGGTGATAGTCTTAATCAAAGTGATTAATATTGTAAGTTGTACTCTTCAGTTGTGATTAATATTATAAGTTGTACTTCAAAAAATAGATTGGATATTATATTTTTTTTGGAAAACGGAAAATGATTAATCGGAAGCCTACTCGTATATTTCAACGAGCACCCCAGGTTCACAAGTTTAAAAGGCACTCAAATTGGGTTTTGTAGGGATTGAACGTCCGACCTCTGATCCTACGTGGATATTAAACCCGGGACCTCTTCCCAGCTAGGCTGGAATAGTTGATGAATGGATATTAGAAGATATTATATAATAAGTCGTTAAACCAAAGGGCATATGAAGATGTAGAGGGTCATGCGTCGAACAAAAATGTTAATTTAAAATTTAGAAATAAAAAATAAAGTTGTGTGACCTAGCTAGGTCATGTTATGTTTCTAATTAATTTAATTTGTAATAATCGATCCCAAAAAAGAAAAAGTAAACATGTTGGTAGGTATCGAGATTCAAACAAGAAAGACATGTGTAAGTATGCATGCATGCAATTCTTAATTAATAATTATAAAAACCTTCAATACTAATTAATGAAGCCTATGGCTGACCTTGATGGTGAAGGAATTCACCAGGGTTTCATCAACAATGTTAATCCCAGCCTGGAGAATTTCAAGAGAGAGATCTTCAAGAACCGAAACTATCTTCGTTGCTTGGCATGGCAACCGAGGTGAGATAGTCTTTAGAAGAAGATTGGGGCCTGAAAACTTCACCTCAACATCAGCAATAGATGACTTGGAATTTGCACCAAGCTCGTTGTTAACATTATTATCAGAAGTTGAGGAAGAAGTAGAAGGTGAAGGGTCAAGTGAGTAAGATGCGTTAATAGGGACGAGATGAGGTTGCCGCAACCTGCAGGCTCTATAAGGGGTTACCGGTTGTGGGGTTTTTGGGCTAATCGGCAAGATCGGCCTAGGGCTTAGAGGGGGTTTTCGGGGGCTGAGTGGTGAAAGTCTAGGGCTCAGAACATCACTGTAAACTTTTCTTTGCTTCTTTGCCTCAAGTGATTGAAGAACTTGTTGTAATTCGGTGATGTAATCAACTACTCCTCCTATTATTGATGCTTGATCACCCTACAGTTGACGAAAACACAACATATATATATATATATATATATATATATATATATATATATATATATATATATATATATATATATATATATATATATATATATATATATATATATATATATATATATATATATATATATATATATATATATATATGTACAAAAACCTTTAAAAAATTAAAGAAACCAAGTTGTACATGAACTGTGATGGAGCCAGCAGGATCGAGGTTATATATAAAACTGAAGTTAATTAAACGTGTACCCTTTTGACATAGAAGCAAGGCATTAGTGAACGAAGAACTGTTAGGTGTTCATTCATCTGCTTTCTTCGGTTCCTCTCCACCGTGATATGCGACACTTTCTGCTGTCCATCTGAGATTGCACCGCCTTCTTCTACTAAAGACAGCTTCTGTCTCTTACTCTTGGGCGAAACCATCTCCATCTCCGCCTCCACGAGTTCTTGGAAAGCACTGCAGGAAGAGGTCGACTTCTGAGACCCCAATAATGGATGATGATGATCAACCTCTTTCTCATGAAACCCGCCGCTCTCCAAAGGTTTCAGGGACGTGAATTCAGGAGAAACACCCTCGAGAACTTGAAGCATACTGAAGATGTCGTCTGAAGACGCTGCATCCGATGACATGATCAAGTTGGTCTCTGCAAACTGTTCGGCATAACTGTCGAAGAAATCTGTCAAAGAAATACCGGCACCAACCATTTTGAGGTTTTGATCAGAGACAAGAAAGAGGAAACAGTTGGTGTGCGCTTGCTTTCCTTTCAATAAACAAACAAATATGTAGGTACTTGAGGGAAGAGACCCGAATTAAGATGTTGGTTTTGTGAGGTATAGAAAAGATAAATAGCAGAAACATGAGATATTAATGGGCATATCTTTCAGATCATGGATAGTGACATCTCTATATGCTCTCTCTCTACCGCTACCTCTCCTAAGATTGATTTAAATAACAATTACAAATTTTTGATAGATTAACTGATTAACATTAGGCCAAGGCATCTAGATTGTATAATGGATTCACATTATCATCATTCTATATATTTTTCATTACCTGTATATATATATTTTTTCCAACAAATACATCAAACTTTATTAAGTTTAATAAAACATATTTAAAAAAAAACATTTATTACAAAACTTAATTTGTAATATTTATTTAAGTATTAAATAGTTTTTTTATTGAAAAGTTCAATAAACTCCATATCCATTTAGCTGTCATCTAACGATTAATCCATTAAAACAAGTAGAAATTTCATATCATTCAACTTTAATTTATACTAAACATGTATTGTGGATTTCATAAGCTTGTAAGAGTAAGGCAACTCTATTTTACAAAAAAAAAAAGTAATAATAATACTAAATAAATATATAAAATAAATAAATAAAATCTTTTTACAATAAAAGTTAATATCGCATGATAAAATCAATCTTAAAAATGTCTCTTTTTTCAAATCTATTGAATTGTTGCTATTAATGTCTTTGTGAATTTATTGTGGGCATTCAATGAATCATGTATTAACCGTTGGATGCTATTTGGGCATTCTCTTTCCGAGTTGACTTTAAAAAATTTAGGGTTTTTATTATTATTATTATTATTATTATTATTATTATTATTATTATTATAAAATTTCATATATTAATTAAATTAATTTTCAATATTTAAGACTAACTACTCGTTTCACATTTAGTTGAGTATAAAATAAGAAATTAAATGTCACTAACAACTCGTTTCACATTTAGTATTTGGTGTTTCTAAAAAAGTGCTAGATCGATTGTGATGAGGTGGGAGTCGTTCTTACCTTTTGGTATTTGAAAACCTAATATATATAATCGCTACGAGCTAGCATATAAATGAAATGTTTCGAAACAACGTTAAAATTATATATATAACAATGTTATTTTTTATTTTTGAATAAACAGATCTAGATATACACGACGATGTACATAATAAAGTAATTAATATTGATGTATGTCAAGTCGTAATAAAGGACTGAAATACAAAACTTTGTGATGTTGGGTATCAATCCTGGGAAATGAAGAAAACAACAATACATGCCAAAAGAAACAAAAATATAATGAATGATTCAGAGCTGAATCAACCAAAAGTATGTGAAAAGGATGCATGGAATTCAGACAAGTTTTGTTTGTTAGCTTATAAATGTCCATGGCTTCTTTAACTCCATCCCAGCTACTACTACTCATCTTCTAGGTTCTACTTTCCGACTCCGGCCGTTCACTGCGGTCCCATCCCCTGATTCCCATTAATGGTTCTATTGCCGGCCGGACAGATCCTGGTGGGTGTTTTGGGTTCGAAATCAGGTAATAAATTGAGAGAAGATGGATATATAGCGAGATGATGGTGATTTTGCTACAGTTTTTTGTATGTATTTCTGTGCATGAAAGTAGCAGTAAGTATTCAAAAAAGTTGAAGTAACAGTGGAGTCGCCATGCATGCAGATAACATGGTACCAAACCAACTACCAATTACAGCTACTGCAAAAGTAGCTACAGACTACTTATACGTACATAACCATTTATGTTGATTTACTTATAAAGGGATAGGGGACAGGTAATCAGCCACCCCTCTACCTTTTTTTATCCCCTCCCCTTATGAGATTTGACATTTTTTAATATATATATATATATATATATATATATATATATATATATATATATATATATATATATATTATAAATATTGTCCATCAACTTAACCCAATTCCTTTATTGAACTTGGGTTAAATTCCAATTCCACCTCAACAACTTCAATTTCCAATTCCATTTAGTCCTTTTTAAATATATAATTATATAAGCATATTTTTCAATAAATATTATTATAAATAATTAATCAATGTTGCAATTAAATTGTCAAACAATAAAACCAAAAAAATTATTATTATTATACATATTTAATCATTAAAAAATAATTATTTCCCATACAAACACAAGTTTAAATGCTATAAGTTTCAAAAGTAAAGGGACTATAAGTGTAAAATATAGATTTTGTATGTGAATGAAAAAAAAAGGGGGCGATTGATTTAAACGCCAAAAAGAAAAGTTCCAAAAGTAAAGGGACCAAAAGTGTAAAATAAAGATTTTATTTTATATGTGAAAGAAATAAAAAAAAAGGGGCGATTGATTTAAACGTCAAAAAGAAAAGCGCGTGATATAGATGATGGGGGTAAACGGATACGCTTCTAGATTTTAATTGGGTACGTACGTACGTAGTAACTAATATAAAATACAATATTGTATATTATGATAGAGTAAAAAAGTTTTGTTTGTTTGCATTGTCAAATCAAAATGGAATCCAGTATTCGTTACGCGCTACGTATTGGGATTTTTTTCGGGTGACATTAATATATTTCATTGTGGAGTGGATTTTTTTAATTTATTCATGGAATAGAAATATGGTATTCGAATTATTTAATCTATTTATTTTTATAATTTAATAACACTGGTGTTTAAAAATATCCAGATCTTTGTTAATTTCATTTTTTTTTTCTAAAATAAGATATTGTTTTATTATATTGTTTGAATCTTTATGGTATGTTATTCAATTTATTTCATCTAACTCTTTTAGACTAATATATTTATCTCATTTTATAAAACATAATCAAAATGTCAAAAAGATTATATTTAAGAAAAATATCCAAAAAATATATTTTTAAATAATTAAATTAATAATATTATGGTAAATGTTAACCTAGATTCAAATATCGAATTAACTAAAAAAATAGTTTATTTTTTTAATGGAGGTGCTAAATGTAGCAGTCAAGACGTTTGAAGCATTAAAAAAACACTAGTCACCCATTATAAAGAATTTCCCGTCTAAACTCCCGGTATGAAAAGTCAAATCCTTATCTTTCGAAGGCCGGCTTACTCTAATCAAGATAGTCTTCCTACCTATTATATGTTCCTTTTTCAAAGCCCAACAAGGCATTATTGATACACTAGAATGGATGAGATGAAAATTCTTATGGAGTGGGGATGTTCTAAAATCTAAAATACATTGGGTGGATTGGTGTAAGTAATCGTATCTAAATGAACGGTGGAACCAAATGGCTTCTAACCCATGATATCTGGTATTGTCATCTCTTTTTGAGATTGAGGGTTCAAATCCCATCGTAGACATATGTGAAATTCAGGGATAGTTTAGCAGTATATTAGATTTTCAATTTAAAAAAAAAAGGACGGTGGATTAGGGATCAAACATTAAAAGCTCAAAATATGGCACTTTTAACAAAAAGGCGGTGGAGACTAGACTATTAAACGATCAAAATAGTTTGTGGAAGGGTGTAATTGTGAGCATACATGATCTAAGAAAGAAACTAGCCACCTACATTGCAAAAAAAGGCTTCATTTGGTGCTTGGTGCAACGTGTCAAAGGTCGTTAACAGCCTCTCGAATCTCAAGATAGACTGTAATGAAATTTTTACATTGGTCTTGTGGATTTGACATTCCAATCATGTTCTGGAAAGATGCCTAGTGTGGTATCTCTTCCTTTTAATCTCGTTGTCCAATTTTATACAAGGATTTTTTTTGGAATATCGAGTTTTTGACAGTGGTATCGTCCTGTAGGTCTAGAAACAAGAGCCGACTGCTATAAGATTACTAAATGAACTGCTACGATAATACTCATCCAATGGTAGCATGGAGCCTAATATTACCACTTCTTTCGGGTTTCGCTTTAATCTAAATCCTGATGGGTAGGACCGGTTCGTTGATTTTAAGGGCTATGTGCTAAGAAAAAAAAATAGGGCCATAAATACCATTTTTTAATATATAAGGAAAACAAATTTAAGACACTGAACTATCGTTAAGGGAAACTTAAAAGTAAATAAATTAATTAAAAATGAACATATGAAATTTTATAAAAAGTTCAAGAGCTAATTCTGTAACTTTTGAAAACTGATTTGTTAAACATATTGGAAGAAATGGTTGATTATGAAATATATAGTATAAAAAAATGACCAAATTTGTAACTTGAAATTTAAAACATCCAAAAATGTTGTGAAAAAACATTGAACCCATGTTGATTTTGAATAAAGGAGCCACCTTTACCAACTTGGCTACCCAAACTTTGTACAATATATTGAATAAATTCTTATTAAATATGTAATTTAATTAAAATTTGGGCCCTATTTTTTTCGGGACCCTGTGCCGCTACCTTTATTGGCCTGATTATGAAGTGTGTTGCTTTATCTGACGAGATCAATGGGTAGAATTCTTGTTAGCAACTAGGGGTATAATAGTCCAAAATCCATTCTGTCCATTATGCAACAAAAAACCATAATTAGTGGATCACATTCTTGTTCAATGCAATTTCAAAAAAAGAAGGCTCACGATCGGGTGATCAAATAGATTGGGATACAAAACAAACATTTCTGCAATGTCACACATATATTATTGATCATGCGTCTTCACGGGGAAATTATCCTAGGAAAAAGTTGATATTTGATGCTATCTTTTCTGCTTATTATGGAATATTTGGCTGGTAGAATTCCTATTTGTAGATAATTTTACACTATAATTTTCTTGTTTTTGGTATTATATTCGATGAGCTACAATCTTTCAAATATAAGATATCAAAGTTGAAATATTCCAGCTATTCAGCAGAAAATTTAAACTTTTTTATTTTGTGAAATTCTTTAAACAAATATATCTCAATCGTTTTAACTCGGACTGACATGCGGTTTTTT